AGGAAGCCAGGTCGTCACTTAACCCATTTGCTTCATATGGAAGGAAGGAAGCCTCACTTCCCTGAGTCCCAGGAAAGGAAAAGATTATAGTTGATTCTGTAAATGGCTGTTAATTATGTTCTTACAGGGCTAGCTGTATGAACCCTGGGTTTCTTGGAATAGTTTTAAATTTTTAGTTACTCCTCAAATCTTTTAAAGAAAGAAAGAAAAAGTCCCATTTTTTTTTTCTTTCTCAGCTCTGAAAATGTTAGTTTTCCTGGATATCTGATCCATTTCTGTTTGCAGTGGAAATAGAAAGACCCTGGACTTTAAGAGTTGGAAGAATGACTTTCAATCCCAGCTGGTCTCTGTTGGCCTTGTGACTTTAGGTCAAGCTCTTGATCCCCTCACGGCCTTGATTTCCTCATCTGTGAAATGGGGACCCTATGATGCCTTTCCAGACCCCTCAGCAGTTTTATGTTTAGAGGATATTTTGGAATAGTGTATATGAAGAGTCTTGGCAAACTGTCAAGCAGTTCTCAGGTGTAAGGCATGTTATTCACTTTTGGTATTTCTTTCACGCTGCTATTGAGTTCACACACGGGTCTGTTGGGGTTGGTCCCAGTCCAATGGTCATACACAACTGGGTCACATTTACCTTGGATCTCTTGTTCTTGGTTATGTCCCTCATCTCCTAACCCTAGGAGCCCAGATGTTCCAGTCTTCTCGTGATCATTGATTAAGAATGGTGAGAAAATAAACTTGTCAGGTCAGTAAGGCCAGATGTCTTGAACTTCTTGCCAAACGAAAGCCACCTCAAGTTTAGATTCTGTGTACCATTGTTGGTAAGAGCCATTCAGTTTCAAAGAACTGAAAAGAATGGTATGAAAAGGCACATCAAACACCCTGGAAGGGTTCTTGGAAACTGAACAGCCCTTAACTTTGAGTTACATGTAAGTGAATGGAAACCCTTGTTTTACATTTCACTTGAAACATCTTTGAGGTGGTTCAGGGTTAGGCCACAATGAAAAATGAGCAGATGTTTCCCTGCATTCAAATGCCACTAGATGATTCTTCTGCAGATTCAGGGAATGCTACCTGTTCACTTCTGTCTAAATACTGTGCAACCTTACAATGGTTATTTAATCACCAGTTTCTACACAACTGTCTTTTTAGAGATCTAGGGGAATTCCTATAAATATGAACTGAAATTTAGGGTCCCGAGGAATAGTCAGTGGACAGGAAATCTAATATAATTGTAATATATTTATGTCTTAATTTTCTAGTGCATTGTGTTCAGAATTGCCACTGTATTGGCGTAGTGCTTCTCCAGGCCAGATTCTCAGCATTTTGAAACAAATATGTTATTTGAATTTAAGATATTATAATTATTAATACTAAGGAAATTTCAGTATTTTTCCATAAAATATAATGAGTTAATGTCTATGGAGGTATTGATTAACTTCCAGACACTGATTCTAAAATTAGAAATAATTTGTACCTAATGCAAAATATTATAATAGGTAATGAAGTAAAGCATTTTAAGAATAAAGAGATATATGCTTAGGCTAGAAAATCACATCAGATTTTCTAACTGTGTAATGATTTTATTATTGTTTTTGATCAGTGGAATGAACAGAATTGCTACAATCTACAGGTAACATAAAGAAAATTTTTGAATTAGTATTTTATATGATGAATTTATTTTGTATTTAATATACACTTTTGAACATGATTAATCATCATTTAAGTACAATGCTCACACAACTGAAAAAGACAATCTTTGCTAATTATTCATTTACTTATAGAGGGGAGTTTGACTTTTTTGTTTTTAAGATACAATTCCATACTTTATAAAGTTCTGGATAAAGTTCTGGCTTTTACATCTGAATACTTTGGCTCCAAGGACCATGTTCTGCCTTCTCTGGAGCTGATCAAGTCCAAATACAGGTGTCCCAAGCGCACAGGGATGGTTTCCCCCAGCTGGGATGTGAGTGCCTTTTTTTTTTTTTTTTTTTTTTTTTTTTAAGAGATCTAGCACTTGAGTCCTATGGGCAGAGGGGCAGAGCCATGCTCTGACGGGGCCGCGGCAGCACATGGACTGGGCTTGTGGAGGTGGCATTGAGGTGGAAAGGCAAAAGTAATTTCAGCTGCTTTTCTGGGAGAGAACAGGTGAGAACCTGGAAATGCCTGCCCCCTGACAGGAAGCAGAAAGCAGAAACTTTCGTGACTTGTCAGCTCAGCAGCCCTGTCCAGCGCACACTGCTAGGGCGTGTGGACTTATGGGAGGCAGACTCAGGGAACTTCTTTCTCAGGCTTTCTGCTGTCGTCCTTGGCTATCACATCACACTGGCATCCTGCTGTCATGTTGAGAAGATGCTGGGGGCTTCCTCATCAGTCTCATCTTTCAGTTTCTGTTGCAGCAGAACCATTGCTTGTCCATTTGACCTGGCCTGTATTTTCCACATGTGTTGTCCTGGCCAATTTCCGCCGTCAGTAAGGTTCTTTTCATCAAGTCATAAATCTAATGGAGGGAACAAACATGTACAACAAAACCCACACAGTTCAAGTTTATGAATTTGTGTTGGATGGGGGTGAAGGGAGGAAAGTTGCTTCAAATTTGGAAAAATTTAATTCACTCAACGTTTGTTGATTGACTCGTGCTTTTAGCCGTGTGCTGGGAGCTGGGTCTGCTGCAGTTGTTTCTTCTCTCAGAAGCAATACTCTCTGGTTAACTAGAGAGTCCTTTTCTGTATAGTAAAACTGATTTCTACTCTAAGGGAAGATATTTCTGGACCTGCCACATAGCTGCTGTTGGACGTGTAGAGTGGGTATGAGCGGGGAGCACCCATGTGTTTCTTACTGACTCATTTGATGATTACTCCATTGTTTGAAGGGCTGGGTGTTATGTAATCAACATTTGATCCCCTCCCCCAATTTCTTCCCCCTAACAATCTGGGATTTTCCACCATTTTGTCAACCTTCCTGGAGACATGTTGATTTTTCCACTAGATTTTTTTGGGCATGTCCCAGGGCAACCCAAACTCACCACTCCCTGGAACTTCAGATTCCTCGTCATTGGCAGGGCCTGGGAGAGCAGTTGGGAAGCCCTTCTGTTCTTCCAGGGCACAGCCTGGACTCTCGAAGTTTCCTGACAGCATCACTAAGAGCAAGCAGGAGAGAAAGTACCACTTGTCCTTCTTTTGTGCAGTGTAATTTCCACTTATTTCGACATTCAGAGGCAATATATTTGCTCCTTTCTTTGGAGGTCACTAATTGTCAATTTTTCCTGTGTTTTAATTTCCCTCAGCCCATAACATATTCTTTATGTCCAGATACTTTTTAACCAACCAAGATTTAGAAATGGCCAGTTGAAGAATATCTGTAATAGCCTTGCCTGGAACTTAGTCATTTTATAAGTCAGTTTCATGGGATACACTAAAGATTTGGGTTTCTTGAAATCACCTCAGTAGAGTGTATCACTCTCAAAAGGTAACAGGAAAGCTAGTAGGGACTCTCGGCTCGTTTCTTTGCTTAGTTCACTTTTTGTGGGAAATTGTGCCTGAGGTGAATTCAGAAGATGTTTGAGTTCAGCCATATTTGTGTACTGACACCATGAACATGGTCTGCAAATACAGGAGGATCGGGATGGACATAGCAGAGATAAAGGTCCATGTGGGTATAGCAGATGATAATACATTTGCAGATCTGTGGACTGTAATGCCTCACTCTCCTTCACCACTGGCACTAATCAAGCTTTATAGATTTTACCTCCTGTATGCACTTCAGATTGGCTCAGTTATGTTACCTGCCTTGCCACTTTTGTAGTCAAAGCCACCGTCATCTCTCACCAGGACTGATGCAGTAACTTTCTAAAAAGTCTTGCATATCCATTCATACACATCTCCTAAAACACTCTTTATGGAACAGATAAGGTGATCTTAAAACAAAATGATATTTTTTTAGTTGATGCTGATGTTGCTGCTCTGAGGACACTTTGAGAACCACTCATCTGGATTATTCTTTTCTTTCTAAATTCTCATGCATCCTTCACATCTCAGGCCAAACGTCTTTCTTCTTCTAAGGGAGGCCTTTCCTGTTTCCTCCAGACTTCCAGGAATTCCTATTGTACATTGACGTTGCATCATGTACTTCTCCTTTGAAGCCCTTATTGACATTGTGTTTGACCATTTAACTGTGTAAGTAGATTAAACTGTATTTAACTATGTAAATACCCTCAAGAAGCTCGATATCTGATTCTTGCAGTAGATTCAGATAGCTAGCTTCTCCAGAGTAGAGACTATTTCTGTGTTGTTCACTGTTGCTTTGGCAAGTGCTAGATAATGGTTGAATGAATGAATATTGTTATTTCCTTTTCATAGGTAACTGAAAGCATGTAGTAACATTAATATTCTTGGTAAATGTGAAAGATAAGCAGGGACTGTGTGTAAACTTGTAGAGGTGATCAGGAAGAGTAAACATATTTGTTTGTCAGGGATGCAGTACATTTTAGGTAAGAGCTAGGATTTTTTTAAGGGGCGTAGCGTGATGTGGAGAGCCCCTTAAATTTTGCTTGCTCATGCCGGACCCAGTGGTTCACACCTGTAATCCCAGCACTTTGAGAGGCCGAGGCGGGTGGATCACCTGAGGTCAGGAGCTCAAGGCCAGCCTGGCCAACATGGCGAAACCCCATCTCTACTAAAAATACAAAAATTAGCCAGGCATGGTGGCACAAGCCTGTAGTCCCAGTTACTTGGGAGGCTGAGGCAAGAGAATTGCTGGAATCTGGGAGGCGGAGGTTACAGTGAGCTGAGATCAAGCCACTGCACTCTAGCCTGGGTGACAAAGTGAGACTCTGTCTCAAAAAAAAAAAAAAAAAAAAAGAATTGCCTGCTCTGGTGAGGATGCTAGCACAGTTGTTTCCCAGCTTGCCTTCTTTCTTACAGCCCATTCATAATGTTTTATGAGTGGTTCATTACCTATGTAATTTTTCTTATTCATATGCAATTTTTTTCATGCAGATATGGAATGTGCAGATGTCCCACTCTTAACTCCAAGCAGCAAAGAAATGATGTCTCAAGCATTAAAAGCTACTTTCAGTGGTTTCACTAAAGAACAGCAACGACTGGGGATCCCAAAAGGTATGTTTTTGTAGTTGGAAAAAGAGAGGTTGGGGACAGACCCTTCGGGAAGACTCATTTTCTCACCTGGAGCATGTGAAGCAGACGTTACAGTAACGACGTTGGAGTCAGCGGCTGTGGGTCATGGCTGCCGTCTGTTAGGACAGTCGTGACACACATGCTGAGGCTGTCCCATCTCCTGGGCTTGTCCCTGCCATCTTGGTATGAGGACAGTGGTCCTTAAACTTGCCTGCACACTAGAATCACCTCTGGATCTCTGAAAACTTCCACAGTCCAGGTCATATTCCAGACCAATTAAATCTTAATCACTGGTGGCATCAGTATTTTAGGAGCTCCTCAAGTGATTCCAACCTGCAGACAAGTTTGAGCAGCATTGCCTTAGGGACACTCTGGGCTACTGGGAACTCAGGCAGCGGCCTTTCTTGGAAGTTACTGATTTCTCTCTTCTCTTCCATGTACTTTGGCAAAATGTGTTTGTCCTTGGATGTTCTTATCTGAAAAGGTTTATTTGGGAACATAAGGGGACTAGAATTCTCAGAAACAGGAAGTGACAAGAGTAGGCCTTCTCCAAGGAACATTTCATGAACAGTTGAGACCAGAAAGAGGTTTTCTATTGAGTAGAGAGCAATATATTTTTAAATCAGGTCAGTTCTCACATCTCATGAAGTAATCTGCTGGATTGAAGGGGCACCCTTGGAGCAGCTGTGATATTGGGCACTACACCTGCTGTCAATGAAGTTCTAAGTGTCATTGGCAGGTGTAGCCAGGTTAAACCTCAGTTAATCTATGAAGATTGTGTGCTATCAGTACTACAGTGCTAATCAAAGCATGGCTTACGAAAAGTACAGACTTTGCAGAGTATCTGGTATAATACAGGCACCTAATAATGTTGTTATTACCAAATGCCATTTGAATGACTTACTACTACTAATTGCTACAATTATTACCACTACAATTGGCTGAGATAAAAAATAATTGAGAATAATAGTCTCAAGTATATTATAAGTTAAGAGCAGGGAGAGGCATGTGCAATCTCTTGTTATTATTGCTGTTAAAGAAGCCATTTTTTCTCTTGTTCAGGGCTTTAAAAAAGTCCAATGGGAATAAGGCAGTGAGAGAGGAGATTCGTGGAAATCTTTGCCTGCAAGGGCAGAGAATACTCACATGGTACTTTTTGGCTGGCAGTAGTGATCTCCTAGCTGGTGAAATAGAGAAGGCGGAGATGTTGAATGTGGAGGGGAGAGTTATGGAAGGCACTCAATGGTGTGCATGCTAGGCTGTTGCTTCCTCATTCTATGAATAAAGATAGCATTCTCAGCTAAGTTCAGCTCCTTCAGTGTCCTCTCTGAGGCTTGGGTAAGACTTAGGAGCCCGGCCTGCTGGATCTTCATCTGATCTCTTTCTTCAGACCCCCGGCAGTGGACAGAAACTCATGTTCGGGACTGGGTGATGTGGGCTGTGAATGAATTCAGCCTGAAGGGCGTGGACTTCCAGAAGTTCTGTATGAACGGAGCAGCCCTCTGTGCCCTGGGTAAAGACTGCTTTCTCGAGCTGGCCCCAGACTTTGTTGGGGACATCTTATGGGAACATCTAGAGATCCTGCAGAAAGGTAAATATGTGGAAACAGGGAGAGGTGGAGGTTGTGTGGGGTTGCCATGAGAATAGGTAGGGGACTCACCCAGTGGTGGGACATCAATGCCTTTCTCTGTGGGTGTCCTATTGTGGGACGTATGTGGGGATGTGCCTAGTACAGTGTTCAACATGTAGCAGGTACTCTTAGATGAGTGTTAATTTCTTTTTCTTCTACATATTGGAGGTCCAGATTTTAATCTTCAGCAAGATTACATTCCTGAAGCTTCTTGGATTGCAACATTCTAATGCAGGGTCCTTTTCTCAAACCCATGCCCTGTTTGAACAAACAGTGCCCACAGCCAACCCAAGGATAGTTTGTGTGTGTGTGTGTGTGTGTGTGTGTGTGTGTGTGTGTGTTTTGCTGCAATCTTAATACATACTGCTTTGATGCATGGCTGCATAATACCTGATCACACCCCAGGAAAGCTTAGCTTCTGAGAGTGTGTTAATAAGACAGATTTCTCTGCCCACTAACTGGATTGGAATTGCAGTAGTGCATCATACCTTTTACATCTGGAGCAGGAACTGGGGTTATGTCAGGACACTGTGTTGCAACCTTGTAACATGGCCTCTCCTAACAGCCTCTTCCAACCTTTTTGGACCAAGTGACTCATGTACCACAGTCCTGGCTGAGTATAGAAACAGCAGCAGGCGGCAAACTTGGGTGTTTTTGCGCTTATTTTTCTGAATTTTTTCTTAAAATAAATTTCAGTTACCAGCAGTCAGCAGTGCCCTCCAGCTGACTGTAAGCCTAGAAGCCCATTGCCCTCTCTAACCCAGGCCCACCCTTTCCCTGTGGTCACCAACTCCAGCCCTTGGCACAGACACCGGGGGAGGGGAGCAAAACTCAGGATTAGCACTTTTACCCCACATAATACCTTCCTTTGTTTAAGAACATATTCCACTCTGCAGTGCTCAAGAGAGACCCAAACTTTATTTCTCTGTGCTCAAAAGAGTTATCTTTATTCTTTCTCTTCACCTTCTGTTGAAAACTAAGACATAAAGGAACACAGGAAAGAACTATTGAGTCTTTCTGTGGCTGCTGTTAGCGGGAATGGGCAGCCAGCTGCACAGGCTTCCCCAAAGCACCGGCATGTTCTCCGTGCACAGACACCCACTCGTAGGTGTTGACACGAGCGACCTGTTTATAGAGGGAAACGATATGGCAGGCTCCTAACAGATCTGATTTGACTGTTGATTTCTAAACACAATAGCAGATTCCACCAGATGTGTAACCTAATATATTTTACTAAGAGACTGTTTTCCTTTATTTATCACAATGGAGCTGCCAGGTGTTTCGGGCTATCTAAGCCCATCTGATTGTAGTTACAATTAATATCTCTATTGCGTCTCCTTGTTTCCGAAGTTCTTTCAAATACATTTTCTTTTTGGATGATCACAATAACCATGTGAGATAGTAAGGACAAGTCCTAATATTGTCTTTGTCTATAAAATGAAGCTCAGGCTAGGTGATTTCTTCAATATCACTCATCTCCTTAAACTTCATTTTATTTTACTTTTCAATATATTTTTATTTAACTTAAAATTTAACTTCCCATCCTGTGCCTTTTGTATAATAATGTGGACTTACAGGGAACTTCCGGCCCCTAAGACAGGTTTGGCTTTCCTTAGGGCTAAGAAATAGTGTAAGAAAAATTTAAGAAAATTAGGATCTAAGTCACTATGTTTGAGACCAAAAATCGTATCATCCCACCCAATATTCTGTTGAAAAAGGCAGTAAGAATTCTCCCTCTTCAGGTTCAGGAACTTGAAGAGATGAGCAAGATGTTTGTGCTGAGGCTACAGCTTTTGTTCTGTAATTAAACTAAAGCAACACAGCACCAAAAGAACATAGCTGTTTGGGGTGGGGTGGAAGGCCAAAGGTACAGGGATGTTTCAATCTGATAAACTGCTAAAACAAAGTTTAATCATTTTATCTCAACTAGGAACTGTTTTTCTGTGCAGGCATAAACTTGTTTTCCCATCAGACTTTGCTCCTAACAAGCTATCAAATACCTGAGGAAAAACCCAAACCCACACTGTCTCTATGTCAGATTCTTATGGTGAAATATAATCAGACTACTGCATATAAGAATCGGAGGCCATGGCATTTGTTCCAGGGTAATTAGAGGATCCCAGGCTCAACTGCAGTGCCATGCAGAGCTGTCTATACATAGGCACATTTCGTCTCCATTCCTCTCCTTTTCCTAGGGGAGTTGGCATCTGGGCAGGAGCTTGGTTGGGTGTCTCTTCTCTTCCTTTACATGAGTCCAATCGCATTTCACTGAATGGAGTCACTTTACCAGTGTCCTGCTTCTTGTCTGGGCCTGAACTTGAACTCTGAGGGCACTGGAAAAAACACAAAACAAAAACCAGACATCTGTCAGGGGAAGTGGAGAACATAAAATCTACTGCCTAAAGATTGCAATATATTTCTGAGAAGTTTTGAAATTGATCAGTTTGGGGATTGATTCTGGCAACCTCCTGGGATGTCCTCAAGCCTTTGGCTCTAGTGTGGTCGACACACACGCAGCACGAATGCATTGAGAATGAGTGCGGAATGCTTTCTCAGCCCTTAGAGATTACTCACGGATTCTCTTTCCAGGATACTAAATCCCATTTCGCAGCCACCGAAATAATAAACTTAGCCATATTTTTTTGATCTCATCTTTAGACACGGCCACAGTCAGAGTAGACTCAGATACCAACTCAGTTAATGACTATTCAGATTTCTTAGAAAAGGGGTTGAGGTCATTGTGGTCCTTGCATCCAAGATCCCTTTAGAGTCAAGCATGACTTGAATATTGACCTCTTTGTTTCATTCCCTATTTGTTTATTACAGAAGATGTGAAACCATATCAAGTTAATGGAGTCAACCCAACCTATCCAGAATCCCGCTATACCTCGGATTACTTCATTAGTAAGTTCACTGACACTCCTCTTCTCTCATGATAATAGGAAACTAGGAAAAGACCCCCATCTCAGTCAATCTCAGGCTCCTTCATGGAAATTCTTTCAAAAATAATATCTTCTTAAATGTAGACTCTTCTTTGTTACTTTATTATTTCCCACAAAGCACAAAGTTTCAACCTATGTACGTATTTCATTAACCTACCAAGCTCCTGCACATAGGATCTCTTTCTGATATCTTCAACCTGAAAGTCCTGCAGAGAGACTACAACTTGACCTCAAAACTTCTGTTCTGATTTGATACTGTGCACTATGATAACCAAAACTGGGTGGGGTTAGGGATTTGATCTTGGCCTTTGTTCTTCCCTTTTTACTAGTTGAGATGACAGCATTTCCTCCAAAATCCTTCTTTAAGAGTGTGCTATGGAGCTTCAAATTCTATTATAGGAAATACAGCCTTCTCCTTTTTCATGTTAAGTTACCCAGTCCTGCTGAAAAGGTAGCCTGAGGGAAAGAGTGTAGGCCTCTTGTACTCATGTAAGCTCTGAGATGAGATGTAGGACCATCTTATCTGATGGCTCTGCTTTTAAAGGGAATAGTAAACAGGTTTCATTTTTTCATTTAATATATTTACATTACTACAATTTTTATTCCAGTAACACAATGATACTAACTACTCTTCATCAAGAGCTTATTGTGTGGGGAATATTGGTGGGCATTTTACCTATATCCTCATTTCATTTTCCTCACAGTACTCTAGGAAAGATTGCAGTCATCTCCATTTTATACATGAGGAAATGAAGTCAGAAAAGCAATTATCTTGTTAAGGGCCATAGCTAGTAAGTAGTGGACACGGTTAAAAACCCAAGCCTTTCTGATTCAAAGTATTTTCCCTTTATTCTCTAAGGAGCTTGTTCCCCATGATGGGGCGTCTGTAGATGGTTGAAAACGGCTTGTTTTAGGTACAAATCTCTCCTCTCTCTAATTGCAAAGCCTCTGTTTCCAGGCTATGGTATTGAGCATGCCCAGTGTGTTCCACCATCGGAGTTCTCAGAGCCCAGCTTCATCACAGAGTCCTACCAGACACTCCATCCCATCAGCTCGGAAGAACTCCTCTCCCTCAAGTATGAGAACGACTACCCTTCGGTCATTCTCCGGGACCCTCTCCAGACAGACACCTTGCAGAACGACTACTTTGCTATCAAACAAGAAGTCGTCACCCCAGACAACATGTGCATGGGGAGAACCAGTCGTGGTAGGTCCTATTTGTTCTCTAAAAGCTCTTGGGTTTACAAGAATTACCTGGCTATGGGATTTTTTTCAGGTTCCATTTATTTCTCATTTATTAGACTTATAGATTCCTCAGTTTCAGCCTTCCCATCTGAGAATGCTCAGCTACTAAGAGCTTTCCACCGTGGTGTTTTAGCCAAGTCCATGATTATGACAAAGGCTGTTGGGTTCACAGTGGAATCAAAATCAGGCAATTAAGAAATTAAATGTCTTACTTGGGTAAAATGTTTTACTCAATAACTCTGGTTGAATTTGGTCATTTTTTAAGATATGCTCTATTTTTCTTGAGGTAATTTTACCTGAGAAGGACGTAATCAAATAAAAATGGTCCAAGTGACTACCCTGGAAAATGCTTACGTTTAGCATGTGTCCTGGTGCTCCTCCCGGAGGGCTCCTGGGTGTGACTGTAGATCCTGGCTTGCTACCTGGAATGACCTCTGCTGGCCAGCCTGGGATCTTTACCCTCCTGTGACTTCTTTGGTTTGGGAAGATACAAGATGGCTAACCAAGGGTTTATTTGGAACCAGTCATCAGCAGTGTGGCGAAAGTGTGTATTTAGCTAGAGGACCAGGGAAAAAGGTGGCCAGGGGTTTCCAAAAGAAGGTAGTTTTGTTAACATGACTACTATAATAATGATAAAATATTCACCGACAGTGAAGAAAATGTTTCAAAATAGAGCTGGCTGACATAAAGCAAAAAAGGTAAAACACACCCAGTTTTTAGGAACAGGACATAAACAGGCAGAGGTACAGCCTACCTAGTAAAGTGTCCAAATTGTTTTGTTTCTGAGAAAAATGCAGTCTTTTGTAAGAAAGGGCTTGTCTATTTAGCAAGAGCTAGATGATTTCTAAAAAGGTGACAAAGATGACTTTTCTGGTGGGAAAATGGGAAAGAATTATAAACGGGAAGAGGAACAGGAGAAAGCTGATCAAGAGGGGCTCGGGTCAGATGTCAGGCTGGGGCTGGCCTACTAGTAATTCCTGCTCACTGACTGACCATATGTGGTACCTTTTCTGAGGGTCTTGGAGGAGAGCCCAGTAGCACCTTTACTTTGAAGAATCATGGGCCATGCACACTGTCATCTTCTTCGAGTATTCAGGCTCACACTTCCTCCCAGCAGGCCTAGGGTTCACCAACAAGCCCTGCAGAGGGAAAGTCCCTGCAAAATCAGAACCCGTAATCTTCCTTCTTAAGGCTCCAGGGTGTTTGTGTTTCAGACCAAAGGGGATGGGTGGGACCAGTTGGCCTTCCCCTTTCTGCCTCTTTTTTATTTTTGGGTGCGTGTCTATTTAAATACATACACACAAGTGTGTGTATATGTGTTTCTTTTTTATCAGGTAGGCCAAAGCATTAAAATGACTTTCATCCTTTTGGGACTTTCTGTACATCTACACGGGGAGGCCAAGCCTGTGGGTTTGGGCTCAGCCATGTTGTAACTTTGGGTAGATCTCCTGTCATGTTGTTTTGAAATTGCATCTGGCTTTGCATTTGTGTAATTGTCTCTTTTCCCTCTCCTTTTCTTGGTTCTTGGTTTTGGTCCCCGCCGCCCCTCCAACCCCAAACTAATGACTATGGACCAAAAGTGACCCTTACAAAGAGACATGAGATATTTCTTTCTGGCTCCACTCTTCTTCCCTCCCTCCAAGTTCAGCCCACAAAAACTTGAGGGGAAGACCATTTTGTGCAGGGCTGCTTTCTGCACGTTAGAAGTGCTGCAAACAGGACCTATGCAAAGGACCGATCAATCTGAGATGCTGTGATTGATTTACACCGAAAGCATTACTGTTAGCTGATTGTTATTTATACTAATCATAGTACAGTATTCACAGGCTGCATTACAGCATAACAGAGTGCTTCTGTGTCCCACTTATTTGGGCCTTAAGGACTGTCATTGTACGAGTCTGCTCAGTGGGTTGCTGGGGGCTGCCCCATCTTCTGTGTTGAGTGCTCTGACGTCTGTTTGGTGGGGCCAGATAGCTTTGAAAGAACCTTGCCGAGCCCCTTCTCAGAAAGGCTGGCCAATGGATATTTTGGAGAACACACAGGTTTCCCTACATGAGTGCAGCAGTATAACCAAGTGTCTAATCCAGTTGGATTCTACCCATTTTTGGAGAAAATACCCGTAAATGAAGGTTCCCAGCACCAGGGTTATGAAATACAGCTAAAATGAAAGCTGCCTACTGCTGTAAACCACAACTCTCAACAGGCTTGCATTTGGCTCATGTCTGGGGGGTTGCCAGAGACTGGTTCTGGCTTGGTTTAGTCCCCTCGCTTACTGGGACTCCTTGGAAACTCTACTGTCTTGCTTGTGAAAATCCTGATCTCCTTTTTCTCCAAATATAAATTTGGCTGATAGAGATGGAATCATTTCAGAGAGATTTTAACATAAATACCGACTTGGTGTGGTGTTGACAAAAATATAAATTCTCCTTAGGCTTTTGGTGTGTTCTCTCAAATAGAAAATAAGTGACCATGAAGATCAATAGCCGGTATGAACAAATACCTTTTTATGAAATGCCAAAAAGTTTCCTGTTCTAAAACAAGGCTTTTATATTCTGGTTATAGGCTGTTTTCTTGAATCATTTAATGTGAATTTCTGGAAGGGAAACTTCATTTTTAATAAGCATGAAGAGGTGCCACAGTGGACTGGGTGGGCAGGGCTGATAACTCCATGGAGCTCTTCAGTTTGCCTTCTGGAGGTTACCCTCCTCTGAATGGATGAGTTGGGGAAGGCATGAGATGAAACTGACAAGACCATCTTTCTGTTTGAAGCAGTTCTAGAGGGATCAGGAAGTAGAGAAAACCTACAACAGTGGATTTTACAGAAAGTACACACTCAACTGAATATATTTTATCCTGATCTTTAAAAAATTTGGGGAGCAACATATTTTTCTATATATTTATTTTAGGTTTGGGCATTTGTTCATGTTTGATTTTTATCGTTTTAACCAATCTCCACTGTCATGGAGGAGGAATACACTGGAAACACACTAATATGAAGTTGTATAAGTCAGCCTTATTCTGGGATTTGAAATTTATAGATTAACCACTCCTGAACAATTAAGAGTTGACTAACAGATATTTCTACATAAATATTTGTCTCATCCCTTTGCCTCTTGGCTTGTGCTGAGTTGAGGTTGACCATCTAGTCTCCCATGATTTAACTTAGGTTACTTGAAAGGTATCTGAAAGTTGCATATAAAAACCATTTCAGTGAGCCTTTTTAGCTCTTAGATGCATTTGTTTTCCTCCAAAACCTTTTTTTTTTTTTTTTTTTTTTTTTGCTAGCCTCCTTTTTAGTGGCATTTTTACCAATGGAAATTTCTCCAGGAGCTATTGTGCAATCATAGCAGCTGTTTATAACCTGGTTTGGGAAATTAATGAACTTGCATGATCTTGTGGTCAGTTAAGAATGCCTTGAGCAACTCACAGAGTAAAGGATTCCTGACACTGCTATGGACCTTAACTCTTTAATAAACCTTTTAAATATTGCCTACGCTTTTCCAGTGAAGTTTATATTTCGAGTACATAATTTTACTTGGAGAGGATAAAGAATATGGTTTTCTGTTTAGAGGAGTGATCGTGTGTATAAGTTTTGAAAGTCTCTTGGGAAAAGCATCTTCTACTATCTTACTCTATTTGAGAAGGCATAGGTCAGTACATGTATTTCATTTTAAAAAAGTATTTGGGAAAAATACTAAAAAATAGCACTTTAGTTCCAAGGTCAAAAAAGGCTAATCTGCTCTTAGCCTAATGGGATTCTTTTTTCTTATGACCAAAATGTTTTCCAAACTGGGCCTTTTGAAATCATCTCATTGGCTTGAGTTGGAGTGGGGGATTCAGCCTGACATTGCTCCGATTTCTTCATGTATTCATTGGACCTACAACATCAGCCAGAAATTACATCATGACATGTGTGATCCTCAGCTTCTAGATTTCTGGCTTTAGAACTCTTGAGGACCCAAACACTAGTCTGACAGATGTGAGCAGCGTTTGACTCTGAACCTCTGTAAGAGGAGTTCTCAAACCAGGCAGCAGAGTGGATGTGGATCCTCAGATTGTGGCCTAGTGTAGCCCCTTCCCCAGAGTAAACCCATGACCCCTGAAGCTTCCATTTCCCCTGGACTCTCACTTCCTCCATCCCTCCTACAGATCTGATTAGCAATCTGTCCTCCATAAGAGGGTTTTTACAGTTTTTTCCCCCCACTCCCTCCTCCCTCCTCCCCTGTCCTCTTCCTACCTCCTCTCTTACTTCCAGGTAAACTCGGGGGCCAGGACTCTTTTGAGAGCATAGAGAGCTACGATAGTTGTGATCGTCTCACCCAGTCCTGGAGCAGCCAGTCATCTTTCAACAGCCTGCAGCGTGTTCCCTCCTATGACAGCTTCGACTCAGAGGACTATCCAGCTGCCCTGCCCAACCACAAGCCCAAGGGCACCTTCAAGGACTATGTGCGGGACCGTGCTGACCTCAACAAGGACAAACCTGTCATTCCTGCTGCTGCCCTAGCTGGCTACACAGGTAGGCGCCCTCCCGCTGCTTAGGGCAACTCTGTCTGCACGTTTCTGTGGGTGGGGTCCGGGAGGCACTGTGCACATCTGACCAGAGACCATGGCAGACTCCTTTTGCAGGGCAGTGGGGAGAAGTCCCTTTAAGAATTCTTTAGTCTCTCCAGCCACTCTGCTTGTGAATAGCCATTGATTTTTGGAAGCAGATAGTATTATTCTATCCCAAGGGATCATTTCCAAGAATGGTAGGAAACTTATATTTTGGGTGTTTTTCCATGTCTGGGGGAAGGGAACTGTCATGATTTGGTGTTCCTGGAAACTGAATCTAGTGGCCTGGCATCAGGGGATTTTTCCTGGTCTGCTCTTGGGAGGTCTTTCTAAATACAAAATCAGCAGCAGCATCTCTCAAAGGCACAGCTAAATGGCCTCCACACTGGACTCTTCTGCAGCACGGTTCTCCTTAGGCCAGCTGTTCGAATGTGGGAACAGTGTCCCCAGTGGCTCTCCGCCCTGTCCAGATCCATCCTGGACTGTAGAGGAGACCCTTCCTCTCACTTGGCTTTATTATCAGTTTTCTTCCAGGAGCAAAAGCTGTGTTATGATAGTGATGACTGAAGAAAGACCATAGAGAAAGGAAGCTGTAGGTTGAGCACGTGAGCTTTGATTGAGACTCTGGTAGTAGAGCAAAACAATTCTTTGTTCAAATGGGTTGTAGCACATCATGCTACTTAACCAGAAAAACATGTGGGGAGTATATGTGAGAAATAGCCAAGAAGCATTAATGTGTTAATCATCAGATCACTCTGTAAGATTGTAGTGTTTTCTAAAAATTAGAAAGTGTGTTGTGAGTATAGCTTATTTTAAAATAGCTTTCATTACTCAGATGTGAACTAGGCCTTTATCCTCTTATAATTCTCTCCATGCTAGACACGTTTTCATGTAGGGACCCTTTGTGTGGATGGTGACAAACAGCAACATCTGTGTTTCTCTTGAGGTACTTGTCTGATCTTTAGAGTTTGCCGAAGTTTTATTTTTGCGTTCAGGGAAGCCTTAGGTCTTCTACGAAGAAAACCATTGACCTTTGAGAACAATTCAAATGCTTGAAAACTTACTCCCCTTTCAAAGGTCAGGAGTGTGTCTCTTCCGTTGCATTCCACATAGCCCCTAGTGCAGTTCATTGCATGAATAGTGCCTAGGAATCATGTCTGTGTGTTGGGGTAGCAATAAGGTCAAGGCCAGGAGCGGAACTTAAAGGTCCTTACTTTATTCTTTCTACGGTACCCGTGGTCTTAGCTTGAACATGGCAACATGTAGGAACTTACTACTTTTCAAGGGAGTCCTTTCCCGTCTCTGGAAGAAGATTATTAGGAAGTGTATCCATTGCCATTAAAAACATCTGGAATGAGGAAAAGTATATTAAGTCACTCTCAGGATGTATAAGAGTGCCAGCTCATGCAGTTATACCTGTTAGGGGTTAAAGAACCAGAGTGCAGTTGAATATAGTGATAAAGGAAGGCAGATGTGCTGCTTAGTTGGGAAGAGAAAGGAAAGGCAGAGGTAGCTCTAAAATGACTTCATGGCCTTGGGAGGTGGACTTTATCTCTAACTGGCGATGCTTGCTTCTGTTTTTGTGCTGCAGGGAAAACTATACTTTAGGTCTGAGTTATGTTGGATAGATTGATAGTTGCCTTCCCTCCCTTCTCTCTCTCTCTCTCTGTCTCTCTCTCTCTCCACACATGGGATTAGGGAATAAAACATTTAGAGAGTAGAAGAGAAGGGATGATGATTATAAAGTCTCAAAGACTGAAGTAGTCATTTTAATGAAAAAAACATTTTGAAGTATCTTACCATTCAATTATTTCTCCTTGACGATTGCAAGTTTACTTTTCATGCTCTCTCATATGCTGGTGAGAATAATAGCCCAGAAAACAGAAGTCCTCTGTGTTTCCTCCCAACTCTAACACACTGTGTGGTTTTAGGCAAATTTACCTTGTACTCTTTTCTACTTTTAGTGAAATAGAAGTGTTCGTCCTTATCTTGGTGGCAGGAAATCTGTGAAAATGTAATTGAATTAAATCAACTAATTAAATAAATGAATGCTAGACATTGTGCTAGATGTAGAGAAAAAAAAAAACCCTTAAATTATAACAGTTCAATTATTTCAGCAAATGTCTGAGCACATAGTGAGTGCAGAAAAGTGAGTAGCCCTTGAGGGCTCACTGTCTCCTTGAATTCACAATATTTTAAATATCCTTAGACTTGAACTGGATTCTCCCGTTGTTGTGGTCTGAATGAAAGTTGGGATTTGTAAGGTGTGTGAGGAGCAGCCCACATTTTAGTGGCTTTTCTTACTGTAACTGACGCCTGGTGAACAACTCCTGCCTGTACTGCAAACTCATCCTGTGAGGGTGATCTCACCCCTCATGGTGCCCCACCAGCCTCATTTAAGATGCATCCTAGGGCACAGGGAAGGGGATGAAACGTGCCCATTCAGCCTCACCCACCACCTGAGGCAGTCACTAGAGTGCCTATAAATGGATATCTAGCTTTATGCAGACATGTTATGATGAGCTGGAATTTGTAAAGTGGAACTCATTGTATACAAGTGTTGGCAATACATTTTATTGCTTGTAAAAGTTAGCCTTTCTGTCTCAGGTTCTGCTCCCCTTTTCTGTCTGTTCCTTTAAAATTTGATTGTTCCAGAGTATGTTTGGCCACACAGTAGGGGTACGCATAGCTCTATGTCACTATTACTTGGCCTGAACTAAAGGGTGCAGGCTTAGATTCTCCAAGCTGGGAAGAGAATCCATCTTCCTGCCATCTCACCGGGAGTCAGGGTCTTTGTCCATATCACCTCCAATGGAATACATTTTACTTCTCGATAGGGTGTCTTTCTTACTGCCCCGTAAGTGTGGAAATCAGTTAGAAACTGAATTTTCACATTCTCTTGCACAGTTACATTCTTCCTCCAAAGATAAGAAAATTGCATCAACCTTCACTGGGCTCCCATAGCAACTTGTTAAATTAGGTCAAGATGCGGGGGCAGATAACATGGCTTGAAAGCCTGCCTGTTAGCTGAGTTAAGAATACATCAAATGCAATGCTGGCTTCCGCCAAAATGTACCTCCTTACCTTACTGTGAACTGCTTACGGTTATCAAACTGATAGCATCAGAAAGCTCCATTTTCTTTTGTTTTGTTCAAAGATACATTATGAACCCCTTCTAAGTACAACACAGTCCGAGAGAAGTAGCCCAGTGTTTTCTATATCTACTTTATAGAACTAAGCAAAATGCTTTCCAAGCCCTTGAAAAACACAGACATCTCTGCTTCTTCTTGCTTTTCCATTTCAGTAGGTATAGAATGATGTAATGGGCTGTCACATTCTCCCTTCCTCTCAACCCCTCTAGTTCCATTTCATAGATGACAAAACTGAGGAACAAAAAATGACTTATTCAGGGCCATGTATGTAATTGCATTCTGCACAGAGCTAGCTTCTGAATTGAATCTTAAGCCCCAAATGTCTTTACCTGAGTACAGAATCTTTTCTTCATATTGCAGAATGAGAGCACTCCTTGGTTATCACTGTTGTCCGCCTAGAGTGATCAGGACCTTGTCTTCCTCTTGTCAGTAATGAATACTACATGTATGTGGGTTAGGGGTTTGTGGGAGGGAGGAGAGCTGGGTTTGGCTTCTGTCCAGAGTTATTGACCTATAAACCACCTTTATTGAACTTCATTCCAGATTGTCAGACATAGCCACAGATAAGGAGTCCAAACACCTCTGCAGCTGTTACCGAGCAGGTCTGGCGCTAATGTCCTTATCAATGTCTAGGTGTATTCCCACTCTTTGATATGCAGTTATGAATGAAGTGGTTTTCCTGTTTTCTAGGAGCCTAAAAAAGGCTAAACCCAAAGCTGTTTATTAACTGTAATGAAATTATGTTTTACGGTGTTATGCAGATTTATAAATAGGCAGTCCCTCTGTTTCCTTAAGGCTGAATTTGGGACTATCTGGAAGTCAACTTCCAAATTTTTTTTTTTTGTGTGTGAGACATCACAGAAAAAAAAGTACTAGTCTTACAGAAAAAGAAGCCCTGTACATTTTCCTCTAGGTCCTCTCAATTTGATTCTTCCCTGAAGTAAATCCTCCTCTTGTAATTTCATAGATGACTCTAGAACCAGTCTAAAGTCATACAATAAGAAAGTCCCAGGGCCAAGTCCAGAACCTTGAAGTTCTGGCTTGTAGTTGAGTTTTAGGGTTCAGTAATCCAAAACTACTGCTAAAACATGTTTTTAAACAACTTTACTGCAAAAGGAAGTGCTTCAAAGCCCTTCATTTCAGAATGAAACCTGAGATTTTGGCAGCATTAGCTAAAATCACAGTTTTCCGAAGGAAAGCTCTATTGCAAAATAATCTCGATGTATTCAGGTACAAACAACAACTGTGGAAACTTTTGATATGAGCCTAAACCAGTGATAAGGAAAGAGTAAAAGCAGGTTACTAGTGCAGTATGAATCTGTGCTGTTGACATGTTATTAGAAATAGGGTAGAGCCTTTTAATTTGGGGGATTACTGGAGCCAAGCTCTGGAATCCAAAGTCTCTCCTTATAAATGCTGTTGTATAAGACAGCGTGAAATGGCTGAAGTCAGGCCCAGAGAAGTTAGGGCACTTCACTGAGGTCTGTGGGCCAGGCAAAGCTGGGGCTGCCTTCCAGGCTTGCTGAAGCCATCACAGTCTCAATGTAGAGCATCCCTGGGCAGCACACCTGGTTGCATAACAGGAAAAGAGCTTGGGAATGAGAAGGGCAGAAACAGAGTGTCTTCTCTTTCTTGCTCAGAGGCTGCTGTGATTAACCAGTTGCAGGAAGCTAGCAGACCCCTCAGCTCAAATGGAGCCTTCCTGCCAGCTAGCAGCTGAAGACAGTGGCAGGGATTCCATTCCCTGTGCTGGGTTTAGCAGTGGATCCCAAAGGGGCCCCGGGGGTGGACCTGGGGATCTCAGTGGAATGAT